TCACATCCTTCATGAGTCCTTTTGATTGGCTGAAAGTGTCCTTGAACATTGATCATGCTTCTTGCTTGCCTGGAGGGGAGACAGAGAGGAGTGTGAGTGTATGCAGAAAACTAACCTACTATTTACTTTTGTTGCTCCACCCACTTTTGCCCCTGCCCCCACCCACCACTTGTATGTGGCCCCTGGAAGGTTGCCCAGTAGGGAATGCGGCCCTCTGGATAAAACAAACAAAACACCTTCCTTATCCACAGATTAAAAGGTGTGTGGCATCAGAGTAGGTGAGCTGCCTATTGGGGGTTGTAATTAAAGGCACAAAAAGGAGCTGTGGGTGGAGGAAGTAGATGGCAAGGCTGAAGTGATTTGAGTTTTGTTTTCAGTTTGGAGTGAGCATCTGAGATAAAGAAGCTTCTCTCTGGCGCTTTCTCTGGGATCCTTACAACGCAACAAGGTAGCAAAAGGAAACGTTGACTATTGTGCAAATGTGTAGAATTAGAAGGAAGTGGGGGAAAGGAAGATCCTGCATCTCAGTTACTTTTCTTTACACACAATAGGGAGAACTAAATGCAGACAGGGCTCTTAGGAGGACTTGCCCACGTGGAGTTTCCCTCAAAGGCATAAAACAGAGTGGTAAGTGTTTGACTGGGAAAGGCCACAGCAGCAGAGAGAACAGAGAAGATTGACCTCCAGTTTAGAGTGAACGTTTCACTGGTGGAATGGGCTGTGACTCTTCTTGCCCATCAATAAACATTTCCTGGGTGGCTTACAACAAAAAGTAAGAACTTGATCTCTAGATTCACCACCCACCCAGCCCTAGTCCAACACACTAAAGTACATCACTCTGATTCTCAATAATATCCCATCAAAGTTCAGTTTTTTAAAAATACTCCCAGATACAAGACAGGTACTCTGGACGTGTATTAGGAGGTTGGACTAGAAAACACTCAATGTCCTTTCAAAATGTGTTAGGGACGGGAAGGTTAATTGGGTTGTTTTTGTTGTATTATGATTTTGTGTTTTTATATTGTGATTTTATGTTGTAATCGCCCTAAGACCTGTGGGTATAGGGTGGTATACTATTATTATTATTATTATTATTATTATTATTATTATTATTACTATGTTTTATTACTATGCTAGTCAACGTTTCTTTTTTTCATGGTAAGACTTGAGTGGCCTGATTCCAATTCATTTTGTTGAATCTACAAGATCATAATTATTTTCATTTATAATTGATTATGTGTATAACCAGGACACTAGTACAGAGACATTTGAGACTCAGATGCATTATGCCCTTGAGTAACCGTTTAGTTCAGCTTTTATTCCAAGGAGACCATTGTCTGATTATCACAACTTAACAGGGAGATTTTCACATCACAACCTGCATTGTTCCCATTTTACCCCCTGAAGCCATCAATACATGCTGTAGCAAAAATTTATCACTTGCTCTTCCTCCTTCTCCCCACTCACCCATAGAATTCTACCAGATAAGAAGCCGCAACTGAGTCAAAAACAAGCAGAGACCATTCAATTCAGCTCACATCTCGCACCGGGATGGACATCTTGTTACGATAAATCAAGGTGGATTTTCCCCCTCCCCTTCTCGATTCATAAAAATAAACAGAGCAATAAAAGTGAACCATGTCACCATTCATACACTTGAAGGAGGGGGCGGGAATCTTTAATCTGCTTGGGAAAATCTTTTTCTCCCCTAACAGGAAAAAATATTAGTTGTCCCGATAACAAGGAAAACAAAATCAAGCAGAGGGCATTAAGGAACTTCCTGAAATTGAAAGAAGAAAGGGGGGGGAGAGACCAACAATATTTCATGTAGTAGATTTACTTTTTAAAATGTGGGGGGCATGCACAGCACAACACAACAGAAGGATCCTTTCAGTTTTTTCCAGGTCGCTTCTGGTTTCAGGAACATGAAGAAATATACAAGCTTCAAAGCGGCTGGGCTTGGAAACAGGGGAGGCGGGGTGTTTTGCATCTAACCTTTACAGATCTCTTTTCCCAGACTTTTTGTGTTTCAAGAGGGCCCCATTACGCCATCAGTAACGTCAGGAGGGGCAACAGCATAACCAGCAGAATCCAGTCAGAACTTTGGGAAAAGCTGAATTCCAGCCTATAGGGAAGGCCCTCTGAGAGCTTTCAAAATGTTGAAGAGGAGGCCTGGCACAAGAAGACTGGGGGATGTGGCCATTAGCCATGCCAGATGGAGCTGGTGAGAGGCCCAACAACATCTGGAGATCTGGAGGGTCCCTATCCCTCAATGTAAGGAATTGCACAGCAGACATTTCTCAGCTAACCACGGTCAAAACCTCTTTGCATTCCAGTTTGTTCTTGGCTATAGCTCATGGGGGGCTGCATGGCATTCCTCAGAGTGCTGTTTTTGTCTGCTGCCACTGCCAGGTCACCCCACCAGAGAGAAGAAGAAGAGGAGGAGGAGGAGGAGGAGGAGTTTGGATTTGATATCCAGCTTTATCACTACTCTAAGGAGTCTCAAAGCAGCTAACAATCTCCTTTCCCTTCCTCCCCCACAACAAACACTCTGTGAGGTGAGTGGGGCTAAGAGACTTCAGAGAAGTGTGACTAAACCAAGGTCACCCAGCAGCTGCATGTGGAGGAGCAGAGACGTGAACCCTGTTCACCAGATTATGAGTCTACTACATCCACCACTGCAGAAGAGAGCCCACCACTTTGTCGAGGGCTGCCTAAAATCTGGAGCCGGTTCTGAAATAAACACAAGGAATGAAGGTTGCCATGCACTTGAGCACAATCCCATTGACATCATCAGGTGAAATTGTTACAAGTGTGAAGCCATTTATTGCAACCTAAAGCAGTCTGTGAAATATCCCAAATTATACTTTCATGTCCTGCATGTTCGCCATCCCACCCCGGCACAATGAGTCAAAATTTGTTGACTGAAAGCCACTGTATCCTGAGAGGATACGTGACAATACACAGCATGTAAATTGTCACGCTTTATGATCAGATGTTATTTGTTATTGCTGGTGATGCGCAAAAGAATTCCCAGCAAAAAAATATACAACAGTTTTTGTCTATTTATCTACCCAGGGGATATCCGTGAACAGATAACTTTTCTCATTAAAGGGTTGCTGTTGTTGTTTTTCCCTTTTACTGAGAAGGAATTTGATGATTTAAATATGATTTATGCTGTGATTTGTTTATTTTGTAAAATGGTATGTGAATTATTATTATTATTATTATTATTATTATTATTATTATATATCAGGTCAATAGTTTATTTAGGTCAGTACATCATTTGCTTTGGCTTGTTGGTTTATCATGGCCCTTGGAGCACCCTGACACGCAGGAATTTATTGGGTGAAACTTTTCCTGCCATGGGAACAATTGGTAGGAACAGTAGCAGCATGTCAGGAAGGCAGTGTCCTAGTTTCAAAATCCCTCGCAGATGCAAGGCCTAAGGTTGCCAGCGATTTGACTGACCTCTGTAGCTGTGCTCTGAACTACAACTTGACATGAAAGCAATTCCCAACATGGAGATGAGCAGGATCGCTAGCTCGTTGCTGCAGATCATGTTAAAGGCACAGTTACAGAGGCCGGCTGAAACGTTGGCAGTCCTTGCAAAACCAAATGTCAGACCTTGGGCACCACTGAATTTGGACCAGCTTTTATGTTTTGACCAGTGTGGCATTCATTAGTGAGAGATTAAAGAGGCTTAGATCCAAGCATTCTGCCTTAACTGGCTAGACTCAGCTGAAAATTCACATGGAGACGTCAACTCCAGAAGGTGCAGCTGCAACCATGCATATTTCACAAAATACAAGCAAAAACGTTTCTGACAGCCACACAAATGCCAACTGGAGCCCTTTCTAAATACCTCCTCTGACTATGGATTATTACAAGATGAGCTTTAAAGGTGTACAGAAGAGCTTGTCCTTTTCATATAGCTCTCTGGGAGTGAAGGCTTCAACAAACGCAGCTTTTCTCTCGCTTGGCGAACTGCCCCTGCCAAGATTCCCTCTTCTACCCAACGACTGCCTTTTCATCCTTTCCTTCGCCTCAGGTCACCCTGGTATACAACCCAGCCTCCCATTAGCAACCCAATTCAGTTTTCGGCTAATTCAACGTAATGGATATCAATGACTGGTGTCCTCTCTTCTGGATGTCCTGGCGAAACCCACCATTGCTCGCTAATTTGTTTTAACGTGATTTGGACTGAGGGGAACCTGGACTCTGCAGAACAAAGATGCCTTTTGAAAGACGGCCTTGTTATTAAATAAATCCCACACTGGCAACATCTATCAGTCTCCAAAGGCAGCTATTTGATTGCTAAGCATGTAATGAGTCCACCACCCAGTCCTGGGTCTTGCGATCTTTCTGTTTTTGCCCCTCCTCCCCTAACAAGAATTTCCATCCCAAGCTCTGTGGTCGACTTCAGTTCCCTCACCACCTGCTTTTCCTTGTTTTCCTAATTACTGAGCAGAGTCAATTCCTAATGAGGCTGCTTGGTTTCCTGTTTTTCCATACTTCTTGAGCCACTTAAAGCGTCAGGCCAACATGAAAGAGACCTTTTCTCAACAGATTTGAAATTAATTACCATAACCTTGGTGCTGCTGGTTGCTATGCAAGGACTTTCCACGGCTGCCTTTCTCATTTAACGTTTCCGCGCGAAACAAAACTATGTGTTTCTCCCTCTGTCACCACTGCCTCCTCCTCCTCCTCCCCAACATCGCTATCCTGAGTTAGGAATTCTGGTTCAGGAAGCAACGAGCTCCAGAAACACTGTGCCTAAGGCCGAGGAGGAAAAGCGGATGATGTCACACAAGGGATTGGGCTCTGAGAAAAAGATGGAGTGCCAAGAAGGAGGGAAACAGTCTGACATCCGTCCTACGAGATGTCAGATAAAAACCCGTGTTGTGAATGGTGCCGGCCAGCTTCCAAAGACCCAGCTTGTGCAAGAATAAGAACCATATTTAAGCCTAGTTTTTTTTAAAAAAATAAATGCACAGCATGTTTACCAATTAGCTCAACTGGCTAGAGCGTGGTGCTGATAAAGCCAAGGTTGCAGGTTTGATCCCCGTATAGGACAGCTGCATATTCCTGAATTGCAGGAGGTTGGACAAGATGATCCTCAGGGTCCCTTCCAACTCTACAGTTTTATGATTCTATGTCTGAAAATCTCTTGTTTATGTATTTATCCATCTCTCCATAGCAGCTAAACACCAAGCATATGATATTGTATTTCCATGTGAATGTATTATGTGAAATTATGCATGTATTTTTTGTGTGGGTGTCTATATATTTGTGACAAGGCCCCTGACGTGGTTCTAAAATTTGGTTCTGCAGTCTGGCCCCAAATCTAAAGGATGAATTTTCTGACATATGCAAAATCCTGGCTGAGGCATCCACAAGCACTCTGGGTGGTTTGAGACTAGTGTGGGAGTCAGGCATCAGTGCAGAAATAGATTCCGAAATGTGAGTTTTGATATGGGGGGGGGGGGAATCATTTATGCCCATTTAAAGGGGGGGAAGGGGAATGGAAGCTCAGGAGAAATGCCCAGAAGTCCCTGTTGCAACATTTTGTTGCAGGTCCTATGTGTGTGACTAGTTAATAGTTGTGCATCACAATAAACAAACACATTTCAATAACCAGCTTCTGTCTACATCTCTGTTCTTTAACAAAGTAAAGAAACATAATTGTCTGAAGGCTGGTACCAATGTCCCCATCCCACCGTAAGCTTTCTTTCCCCATGTCCACCCCTGACATCCTAGGACAAGAGACAGTTTAATCAACAACCAAATTTGCCAGTCCAGGTATATTGCACTGTTTGTATTATTGCAAACAGAAGAATTACAATTATACCCAAAGCAACCAATTTTGTTGCTATGCCTCACAAACCCAGCCACCCATCTCTCCTATAATCCATTCTGGCTCCCTACAACTCCCATATCATAATCAGGGAGGGTTTATTGACATACAGCAAGCACAGCAAAGCTCCTAGTTCTACAAACCTTACAAAAGGATGCACTTAGGTTTGTCACAGTCTGCAAATGAAGGCCCCAGAACTGACTCTCTAGTTCTCCACTTCAGCAGCGAAAAAGCCAGCGAGTGCTCTGCATTCCAACTCCACCCAAATCATAAAGCTGAAAAAAACTTCAATGGGATCTAGATTATTATTATGACAGGGTTTTCCTCTCAGGATTCGGCTGCTTTCTAAATGGTGGGAAAAGCTGCTTTAAACAGCCTCCAGTCACCACATGACAAAGTGGCCGGCCATTCCTGCAGCCCCTCAAACAGAATAGACGGAATAAGCTATTGTCTGCACTCAGGGCTCAGCTACAACCATGACATTTGATTGGTCCAGGATGTAAAAGAACAAAAAGGTCATTGAATAAAAGAGGAACAATGCTCTTCATGAAACAAACGAGCGCCGACTAATTTATACCCTGTTTGGTTTGGGCAACGTATACATTGACATGATGCAATTGGTCACTGAGTTGCCCCTTTCCACAGAAAGTGAGATCAGCAGCTCCTCTAATTATGGGAATTTCCTGCCACTGGGTTATGCCCACTGTGCTTTCGAGCGGTTTATAGGAGTGCTGCTTTTCACGAGGCACCGTTTGTTCTTGTGCCACATCCATCAGAATGCGGAGGCTACAAAAACCTGTAAAAAGGTGAGGCATGTGTCCCTGGATGTCATGAAGGTTCGTGTCACAGGACACCTCCAGACTGTCACTATTTTGCAGGAGGGATTCGAGAGCATACTGAAATGTTACATCTGTGCTGCTAAAGTGGATTAAAGGGCCTGTTGCCCTCACGCAACAAATCCCCTTTAAAAAAAGAATCGGACATTTACAGTTTGGAAAATGACAGGGGAACAAATTGAAAACAAATGAATCAGGATGAATGCAGGATGTATGCCCACTGTCATATAACTACCCCATCAACAAATCAGAAGGAATGCTAACAAATCAGAAAATCGTCAATAAAAAAAACTATTTTAAAATAAACAGGTCCTCTGGTGGCATTCACAACCTTTACCACAGGTTCAATGACCTAGAACCCTCCACACCTGCTTAAAATATCATGGTTTCGGCAAGCCTAGTCAAACATGAAAAAATTGCATGTGTTTTCTCTCTTTTTAGCCACCATTGATTTTATTAATGTTTTTCAATATTTCTTCCTGTTTTTTTAACAGAGAATTCTAATGTTTTATTATATATTTCTGAAAACCACTTGGAGGTTTTCTTGCAATCAAGCAGCATATAAATTCTGTTGAATTAAACAAACAAACAAACAAACAAACAAACCATTGCTCAATTTACATATCTTGGAAAGAACTCCACGCCTGTAAGTTCACCATGACCATTAGATTGGGCAGAACTCATTCCACAAGCTCCCAACCCTTTGTTTGCCAAATAACACAAATATGGAGGCCCAGGAACATTTGCACAGGAGAAACAGTGATTTGAACCCCCAACCAATGCCTACTGACCTCGCCAGGACATTTTTATCCCAGCTGGGCTCATCTCTGCTCTCAGAAGTCACCCAGGGGAAAAAGACGATTCTCCCCTGCAAATGCCCCTCCACCTTATTCAGCAAGCACACAGCTGTAGCACATGTTCATTGGCAAAGCATGCAGTTCCATTTGAAGTTTGCACTGTGCAAATATGCCCACTGCATCCCGGTGTCAACCAACATACATGCTCCAAAGCCTGTAATCTGCATGTCCCTTTTGCCAGTAACAAACCTTTTCAAAGCTGGAAATCTGCAACTTTTAGGGAGTTTTGAATCTACTATCTTTTTTCTTTTAAGGAAGGACATTTTTAAGCACGGTATTCTTCCTTCTCAGGAAATACCCTTACACTTTCCTTTAGCTCAAAGGGGAAAGAGACTGAGCACCATCTAATTCACACCCCTTGTTTTCCCTTACTTGTTATTTGTCGTGCAAAAAGAGAGACCTTTATTGCTGCCAAATATCCCATATTTCACGTAGACTAAAATTCCAGCACTTCCCACATCTGTAAGCAGCTAAAGAGGAAGTCTATTTAACGAGTAACCTTGAAATGACACAGTTGCATTCTTAAGAGCTCTCCGTTTTGCCATTCTTAAGTATGTGCCGAGCTTTACCTTTGCAAGCAGGGCTTTTTTTCAGCCGGAACGCAGCGGAACTGAGTTCCGGCACCTCTTTTTAGCATACCGGCAGCTGTGCAGTATACCGGCACGGCGCCCAGAGCTGCATGTTGGAGACTTCGGGCTGCATGCCGCACGTAGCTTTGTGTCGAAGGCTGTGGGGCAGTGCGTGGGAGTTCCAGCACCTGTTTTTCTAGGGAAAAAAGCACTGCTTGTGAGTAATCTTTCTGAATAGCCAGAGCCTCAACAACCGATGGTTTTCCACCTTGGATGTCAACTCCATGGAGGAAAGAACTATGTGCACAATGCGTATACCTTCACACTTGACAATACCACACCTGTTGTTTTTTGGCAAGTAGAAGTAGTAAGAACCTGTAGCCAGTCACAGTTTCCCATCACTGGTTTATGAAGATTACTTGCTCTGGGACCCCACAGCTAATTCTCCCCATGCCTCCTCGCTAGCCCAAAATAGGACTAATTTAGCCAGCTAGCCCTGGTGACCATCTAATGTTTATTGGATGGATTTTCCCCCAAATTGATTTTTGAACTTTGAATTTATTGTTATTCATGCTTTTATAGTATATTTTATGCTGTTTTTTGTTGTATCACAATTAAGTGTTTTAAATTTGCTGTTAGCTGCCCTGAACTCGGTTTTCTGAATCAGGAAGGGCGGGGTATAAATAAAAAAATATTATTTATTATTATTATTATTATTAAATAAAGGCCTAGGAGAAAGTACCATAATCTCCCTTTTCACAGCCTCAATAAATTCTTCCTAGTATGGGGCGGTGGGGTGGAAAGTGAGAAAAAACCAAGATGTGCATCTTTTTCTTATACTTGTGCAAGCTCTGCCATAACAGAATCCCATTCAATGGAAACACACTGCACAAGAGGGGGAACGCATCACAAAGATGAGCAGAAGGGAAAAGAGAAGCATCGGAAGGAAGCAGCAATTCAGGAAAAGAAGGTGAAAGTAACATTTGAAAGAGGTTAGTAAAACATAGAAGAGAAGGTGGGAAGATAACAGCGGCCACTGGGCAAGATCCAGGAAAGTAATAGGAAAAAACAAGAGTTGAGAAAAAATCTGAGCAAAAAGTAAATAAAGGCAAAGCAGAATAAGATGGGAGCTACAGTAGCACCTTTCGGTTAGTGATTTTATTTTATTTATACACTTCACTTCCTGCCTTTGACTCTGGAAAATGTCCTCCAATTTGTTAATTTGGGGGAAGGGAGAGGGAGGTGATGGCAGAATGTGATTGCAAACGGGATGTAGGCCAACTTTCTGCTTCTCGCTGAGCACAAAACTAGGCTAGTGTCAAAGCAGGTATTTTTAAATATCTCTGCATCTTCCTGTCACCCAGTGTCGGGAAGATGCAGCTATATTTATACTCCCTGCACCATGCTAGAGCAAAGCACCCACAACTGACCATCTTCTTCCTGCAGAGCAGAGGCAATATTTAGCTCTAGAACTACCAGGAGGAAACCAGATCCTTGTTTACTTACACAAAGGCTTGTAATTGGGTGGTATGAAAAATGGCCCAGAGGCAGCAGAGAGATGCAGACTCCAGGTCATGTGTTTAAAGATAATTAATGTTGCAATGGATAGGTGTGATAATTCATTCCACAAATAAGAGGATATATTGATATCACCATGTCAACTGCCAATATGGGAGCAATCCAGAGCTATGCATTTAATCCTGGTTCACAACTGCATGTCTGCCATGGCTCCTAGACAAGAAAGTCTAGGAACTAGAGTGATCGGAAGGTGTTCTGAGCTCCTTGGAGGAATGGCAGGATAAAAATACAATTCCTATATGACCAAAATGAAATGACGCCTGATCACCCTCACATAGCTATAATTCTTTGGAGGAAGCTGTGATATTTCCACTGGTTTCAAATCTGTTAGATCAGGGAGACTTCAGTATTGCAGAATCATCTTTGTCGCCTCCCTCCCC